GCAGATCCCAATCATCCAAACCCACACCAAATAATTTAAACAGAAGTGGCATTTTCTCTGTATGGAATGCAACACACACACGCTCAGTCACTCACATATACATAAATATATACATAGATTTACTTTACAAAGCCCAAGGATTTGCACTGCCAGCATGCAAACCTCCTCATTCATGGGAGTTCCTAATACTGCGATACGAAACTGGAATGTCTGAAATATTCCATAACGTATTTCTGGAAAGCAAAAGAAGCACAACTCTCGGGCCTCTTTGTGGACAGCTTACGTGAATTATCTCGACACCTATGCTTGGGTAGAATACCTTGGGAATATACATATAAGTGTATTTATAATGAGATGGCCAACTCAAGTTTAGTTTAATTCATGGGAAAAAAAGAAGAAAAAAATCAGTTTGGTTGAAATTAAACCCTGAAGTGCTGAGTTTAGGTTTGTTTCCTTTTTTTTTTTTTTTTTTTTTTTACTGCCACAAGAAGGTTGCACCATTGTTTAAAAAAAAAAAAAAAAAGCAGCAGCTGTATGGAGAGATGGGCTTTCCAGAGGTCACGTGTCCCAACTGCTGTCTTTAAAAGCAATTTTGACTAATCGGAGTTCTAGCTCGAAAGCATCAGGGCGGTCCTGCGGGTTGGCAGCCAGCATTTCCTTAATCAGCTGTTTCATGCGAGCATTCATAGACTTCTTCTTCACAGGGATGAGCAGTTCCATTTTGGGGTTTTCTAGAAGTGCCTCCCCAACCGGCACAATCTCTGTCCCCTGCTTCACGTAGCTCCCCAGGAGTTCCTTCTTCGTCTCCGTGTCGATGAAGGTGATCCTTTCCAACATTGCCCAGATTATAATCCCCAGAGCAAAGATGTCTGCTTTGGCAGTGTAGTGTCCTTCCCAGACTTCTGGTGCCATGTAGAAGTCAGTCCCGCATGCGGTTGAAAGAAAACATTTATTTACGTTGACTGGCTCTTCAGGGTTCTGCCCCGAAGCTGAACATACCTTACTTAATCCAAAATCAGCCACTTTGAGAGTGGGTTCCAAATCGCTGGCATCCATCCTGCTCTGTGATATTAGTATATTGTCAGGTTTGAGATCGCGATGGATAATCTGATTTTTGTGCAGGAAAGCCAGAGCGCTGCTCAGCTGAAGCATGAAACTAGTGTTGGTTTTACGACTGGGCTTTCGGGACAGCAAGTACTCATTCATATCCCCTCCATCACAGAAATCCATGACAAACCAAAGGTAGTAGGCGCTTCTGGGATCAAAGACTATTTCTCCTTTTAGCGAGGTCTCTACAAGCTGCAGAGGAAGAGAGATTTCAAATCTCATCAGCGCATATACACTAAATTCTCTCTTACTTATTTCACATACATTTAAGCTTAAATTGAAATCCCAATCATCTGCTCACTCCAATGTTTAAAAGTCCTATTGTTTCTTCGCCTGTGGGGTATATTGAGCTCAAGACCCAACTAAGAGCCCAGATAACACTATTTTGGAAGATGCACGAGTGGCTATGAACATTCCCATCTGTTTCAGCCAGGCTGTGTTCCACCCACTGCTTAACTAGTCCCACCCTTTCCAGTAACAACTTTCGTGAAAACACATATTTCACCAAGAAGCACTGCACTGTGACAGGGATCATCTGTCCTCAGCTTATGAAACCTACTGCCCACACCACCTGCAAAAATAAACTGTAACATACTATCTGGTAACTCCAAGCACTCATATACATGAGCTAAGCAGCTATAAATTAATGGACTCCTACTTCTACTCTTTTCAAGGGATCATTATCAACTTAATATTTTCCAGGACACATGGAACCAATACCTTTGACAATTTCCAGTAATCAAGTCAAAGGAAAAACTTACGACATAAGCCATTAGTTTTGTTAACCATGGTTACACCTTTGCCTCTTCCGTTTGTATACGAGGTGACTCTCAGTGCAATCTAGAAACTAAGCATTTCAGTGATTTGTGGAAGTTATGTATGGGTTTACAATCACGTGAATTTTATTTAGAGGAAGGATACTTTGTTTATTCTTTCAAAGATGAAGGCATATGCCAACACAGCCTCTGAAAAAAGCTTTCTGAAACAAAAAGATAAGCTCTCCACCTAAAGATTAAGTGCACAGCAATTTGAGCATGTCACTGCTGGCAGAGCTGTGTTCAAGACAGCTGCAGGACAATGACTGAGCACAACATCCAAACATTGTGCAAGTCATATATTTATCCTTTACACACAGCTCATGACAGTGAACCAATGCACTGTGGCACTGGCAAGGGATCTCTCTCGAGCCGTGCATGGAAGCAAGACACATTTTCCTTCCTCACAGCCCTAGCAAATCTTCAGAGGATTTAGCACTTTGGTTTAACTTTCATCCCAGAATCTTGCTGTCCTGCCTGACACCAGCAACACACACACAAAGTTTTAGCTTCACTGACTTTCACTTATACCAGCTGAGGATCTGCCCCCAAAGCATTCCTTCAGAAAGCAATCCCCTTCCTTCCCTTCAATACTGCAGCTATCCAGTTCTGCAATGGCGTAAGATGTTTATTTCCCCCATTTTAGCATGTTAGCATAGTTACCCGAGACTCTTTAGAAGTCTAGTTACATGATATTTACTTCCATGTTTGTAAGGCCTTTAGAGTAGGAACTATTAGGTGAAGTGTTTGATTAGTCCCTTTTGATCTTGTCCTTTGCAGAATCTAGGGCTATGATGAGCTCAAAACAAGAATCATCTCGTTCCCAGGTCTGCACAACACCTAGCACAAGGGGGCCTAAATCCCCACAGAGAGCTATTATAAAAGTATTTAGTGAAGAGGCTCCTAATTGCTTGCAAAAATGACAGAAAAAGGTGCTTGACTGATATATCCAACTATGTCAACACAGATTCCAATTGTTAAAAGTCACTACATTGTATTAACATGAAGGTATAGGATGCAAAGTAAATGCTGGGAAAGAAAAACATTCTGCTCCCACTGTGAAGGGTGATCCGTACACACAAATATCAATCGACTCTCTTATCTAATTCCTTACTGTTGTCTTTTATATCCTCAACACCTTTTCTTTTTTCCTTATAATACACTTAAGGTTCTAAGCATAAAATAAAAAGTGTTGGCTCCTTTGCACTCCAATAGTGGGATTTCTGAGGAATGGTTTCCTAAGCAAAGATAGTTATGCCCTTCGGCAAGGGTGGCTGGAGTTCAGAAACCCAGAACTGCATCTTAAGTGTTCACAGCAGCTCTAATTGTGAATGGACATTTTTTTTTTTTAACCCAGAACATGCAGGAATCAGCATCTGGTTTGTGTTCATTTGGAGCTCATTCCCATAAATCATTAGAAGACTACGCAATTTTGCTGTATGGGTTCATAAAGTTTGTTGGAACCACATGCCTATAACTCTGAAATCTAGGGGATTTTGTTTAATAAACACATCACAGGCAAACATATAAAGAACTGCTGGCATCATTACATTACCAGCCTCGCTCTCCCAGCTAAGTGCATCTATAAACAATACATATTCATTATAAACTCCCAAAGCACCAAGAGAAAAGTTCATTAGATGAGCGTGTTCTCTTTAATAGGCTAGTCAATTTGCTGCATCATAAGAAAAAAATGGTTTTTGCTGTTGGAACTGAAAGCAGCTCATTGCTATGATGTGCGTGTCCTGGATAAGGCAAGGATAAGAAAGTGATTTCTACCTTTCCACCTCTTTTCCTCCCAGCTGCACGCACCCACAAATAGCTTCCATACACCCACAAATAGCTCCCATCATCCTTGCAGCTTGACATACCTGTAAATAAAGGGAGGAACTGGACCCATGGGACATCTTCTGCACCATACCATCTTTCTGTAAGATGCACTCCTCCAGGTGAATGACATTTGGATGCTGACTCTTGATGCTGCTAAGTGCCCAGAACTCACGTAGAGCTAGTTCCACATTCTCTGGAGCATGGCACCGAATCTTTTTCACCGCAACCCGTGCAGAGGTCTTCCTGACAACTGCTTCATATACCACACCATAACTGCCACGACCAACCTCCCGTATTAGGTCGTATTTTGGCTGACTACTCACCATCTTCAATGTCAACGATTCTGGAGGGGGAGGGGAAACAAGAACAAGGCAAGGTTAAGAAATGTGTGAATACAGACTGATCGACATTTCCTCTCCGTATCATTTAGTTAAGTAGCATTAAGTCAATCCCTGAGCTTAAAAACCATCAGCACTTTTATTCACCACAAACAAGACATTCAGATGTCACCAATAAAGGATATCAAATCCCACTTGGTAAAATCATGGCTGCTGCCAAACAGAGCATTTAAAATAATATACACAGAAAGCTTCATAATTTTAGGTCGCCTATTACAATTTCACATAAAGTTCACGGTCAGAGATGCAACATTACAAGCCTGGGCTTGTACAGGATCAGAACACTCTTGTCCATTGCTTCATCTCAGTACCTTTTCTTCCAGCCTTGTGTCTAGTGTCAGGCCTGTGCTCAGTACACATACATCACAATACCCCCTAGTTAAGTTTCTAGTTCAAGACCACACTTGAGAGATATCTATTTTACTCCAAACTGCATCAGGGAAGAAACTGGCCCCTCAGCTGACAGCATGGAAAGCCCTCTGCTGCAGCAGTTTGCCTATCAAAGGGCTTTTGCATGCAGAGGCAACAGGCATGCTTTTCTAAGCATTTCAATTCTTTAAAGAAATGAATACAAGCTTGTTACCTGCACAAAGAGCTTAGTACGAAAAGTGAAAATGGTTGAGATATTGAAAGAAATCTTGACAGATAGGCTAGAGAAGAAGGGGTGTGTACGCACGCGTGTGTAAACATACCCAAGAGGAACAGATCTAAGCACTTCCTTGCAAGTTTTGAGTGCAAGTCATAACAGTAACCTACTCGCACACTTTAATTACTTTAAGTAGAAATACAATTTCAGGGGCAGACAGACAGCATCACCTGGGCATAGAGGTTAGTATGAAAACAGGGCAAGATATTTAAAGAAAAAAAACCCTGACATGGCACTTATGTACAAGCTTGTAGACAGAGAATGAGAGAAACATGTTTAAAAGGAAGCAATCCAAGCTCTGCCCGGCAAGGTTTGAATGCAAGTCATGGCAGCCACCTGCTCAAACATTTTAATTCTTTTAATGAGTAATACAGCATCGCAAACAGAGAAATGGCATCACCCGAGTAAACAGCTTAGTATGAAGAATTAAAATGAAGCAAGATATTTGAAGATTTTTATTTGGACTACACAAGTCTGAAAAGGAGAGGCGTGTATGCAAACATGTTCAAAGGGAAGAGACCCAAGCCTGTCCCTGCAAGGTTTTAACACGCATCACAACACTAATTTGCTCAAATATTTTCCTTTAACATGTCATACAGTGTTGTGAACAGACCATGTTGCCTGCGTGTATAAATACATGCACATTAACAGGGGCCTGATCCAAGCGCTTGCTCTCCTGCAATGTGACAGCTTAAAATGGGGATATTTAAACAAAAAGATTAAAAGAAAAAACTTGACATGGTGTCGAGGTGCAAGTCTGAGAAGGCGTGTGTGTGTGTGCAGACATGGGCAGCCGACATGCAAGTGTGTGAAAGGGTGTGTGCATGCATGTGCAACTGACGTATGTCCACATATGGATGCACACACAACTGACATGCAAGTGGGGTGTGTAGCCAACAAGCAAGTGTGCAAAAGAGGGTGTGTTTGAGAGTATGCACATGTGAAACTGACAAGTGTGTGAAGGATGTGTGTGCACGTACACGCAACTGACATGTAAGTGAGGTGAAGCATGTGCAGAAGCTGTGCGCGTGTATGTCAGCCGTGCACACACGCAGTCTGAGGAGGGGGTGCACACGCATGCGGGGGGGAGCCCACACACGAAGCCTGAGGAGGGTGCGTGTGCACAGCTGACGTGCAAGTGTGGGTGTGTGGGGAGGGGAGGGGGGTACGCGTGTGTGTGCGCGCACAGCTGACGTGTAAGGCCGCGGGGCCGCGTGCGCGTGCAATGACACGCCGGGAGGGGTGCGTGTGTCAGGCAGCCCGCAGCCCCGCAGGAAGCCGCCAGCGGCCGAGGCGACGCCCCCCCCACCCCGCCCCGGGCTCGCC